TCACCCCACCCCTCTACCTCCCCTTCCTCACCCCATCCCCTTACCTAAGGTGTTAGTTCAAGTGGAGATTGTTGTATTTAGGGGCTCATTTGGTTTTCCCCCAAATAGGGATTTGATGGGGGTAGAGGAGCCAGAAATGTCCCGACCTTTTGAACTGGTCCTTGTAATGGCACAACCAAGCTGGTGTGGGAGACCTAATGTCTGGGTTTCAATGTTTTTTTGCTTCCAGGTTTTTGAAATCAAAGCTGATTAACACAAATTTTAAAGACCTATATATGCCTAGTACTGGGGCCCTCATGCTGCTGACAGCTTTACACACCTGTGACCAGGTAAGAGGACCCACAACAGAGTACAGGTGTGAATGGAACCTGATTTGATCCATGAGATCCCTACACAAGGCCTGTCACCACCACCCCTCACCTGCAGGAGGGACCTGGTCTAGGGAAGGAGTGGGAGGGAGAACCACACCCAATACCCAGGGTCCTTTGCAGGACAGCCCCGGGGTCAGAAGGGTTAGCCTTCCACACAATCTGGTCACTAAGTTTCTGATGGGAAGTTGCCCACAGGAGCCCCAGGGAAAGGCTGAGAAGCAGTTTTCAAAGCAAGGCAGTGGCCCGAGGAGGCCAGCCACTCCACAACGCTGGTCCTCCACCTCGTCCCTGTTGTAAAGCAGAAGCCTCCTTTGCAGCCACTGGTAGAATGGGAAACTGGTAGCAATGACATTTATGATCGTGGCTTTAGTCACAGACTTGGGTTCAAAACTCAGCCTGGCCACTCACTAGCTTTTAACTTTGACTGGGGACACGCTTGGTGACCTGAGCCTGTTCCTCCGTTTGTAAAACGGGGTGATACCTATGTAAGACAGCTGTAAGGCTGGGTGAGCTGCAACTGTTGTTCATCTTCACCCAGGCATGAGGAAGGGGGGGCTGTGCCTTTCTGACTTCATGTCACTTTAGACAAGTCTGCACATAGCAGTAGCTCAGCAAATGCTCACTGTGACAATCTTTGTCCAGGTTAGTGCCTATGGATTCATCACAAGTAACTACTGGGAATTTTCTGATCACTACTTCGACCGAATAAAGAAGCCACTGCTGTTCTATGCAAACCATGATCTGACCCTGGAAGCCGCCCTGTGGCAGGACCTGCACAAAGCTGGCATCCTACAGCTGTACCAGCGCCAGCTGAACTCCGGGCCCGCTATTCTCACCAAGCTGTGGGCCTAGAACCATTCCAAGGGGCCAAAGCCGCCACTTTTATCTTTTCAACGAGAGGGACTCCAACTCCCCTAGACCCACTCCTTCCCTGCAAATGACACCAAGGTGGATTTGTGACTGTCACCAAAGCCTGTTCATTGTGAAACACCCCATCTTGTCCTTGGCTCCTCCAAGAAAACTCCCCTCTGGGTCTGAGATGGACACTCCAACCCAGGTCAACGGGAAAATGGACTGCTCACTAGACTTGATAACACTCCAAAGATGTGATCCTCACCCTCACTAGTAAGGGGCAGGCGTATCAGAGCCGAGCCTCGAAGCCAGCAGGCGGTACAGTACTGAGCGACTTTAGAAGTCGGCGGCGTACTCAACCAAGATCAAACATTACAGCAGCCACACGTTCCCAGCCAGAACACTCCCACTAGCAAGCACAGCCCCACAAGAACACCAAGGCAGTTCAACACAAGGACACGCCTTACCCTTTCTGAGAACACAACTGACGTACATCTGCCCCATGATGAAGAGGGAGCACAAAGGCAGAATGTAATCTGAAACCAGACAACTGCATAAATGATGGACGACCATTTTCTGTGTGTTGGGGAAGTAGTACACTGTGCTGGGGTGTGGCGTGGAGATCAGAGAATTCAAGAACCAGGGGATGGTTCTGGTATTTGAGGGGGGCTAAGGGCACAGAGGGCTGCCTGCCTCTGAGGGGGTTCCCATGACAGATGTATTGCCACTTTGTCACCAAAGGGATGACATCAGGCAGTGAGCCCTCTTTATTAGGTATTGAACATTACTGCTCCAACAGTTTAAACTTAGTTGACAGGCAGTTTCATTTTAGACAGTATATAGGCTTCTGTTGGAAGCCAAGGTATCACCACAAAGCCCTTAAGGCAGCCCCAGGATTTCACACCCGAGGACTAGTAGCTTTCCAGACAGCCAGACGTCTACACTGCCCAGGGCAGGGGGCAGGGAAAGGAGGGGACTGGTCTCCCCCGGGCTGGCTGGCAAGAGCCTCCCCAGGGCAGCATCAATCACCACTGCTCAATCCACTGGGGCCAAGGACCTGGCCTCGGGTTCTGGAAGGCTGAGCCTGTCACCATGTGAGAGAGGGACTGTCACTAGGATCAAAATGCTGCTACTTTAGAATCATGCCTATAACTATCAGAACCTGTCAATCCATTAGATTTGAGAAGTGCTAGTTATATTTGTTGGTGGCAACCCATTAAAAGGGTATAAAATCAATTTAGTAGGAAACTTAAAAAAAACACACAAACACACCCAAAACACCTGATTGCATCCAGTGTACTGTTAACCCCAATTATTATCCTGTGAAACTTTCATTTATGTAAGGACATACTGAATCACAGAATAAAACACCGTTCTTACGTGGGTCTCAATCTGAAATCCACAATGCTAGTCATTTCAAAATATTTTTATTTGTGCTTCAAAATTTAAGCCCAAGACACACTGACTTAAGAATTCCACTCTGAGAAATGTTTTTCTAGGCTGAGCACCTGTTTCCCACAGAAGAGCATAGGCATGTGAATTACCTCCCATTTACCATCACTGCAGTCCTGCCGCCAATACACAGGTAATATACCCAGATCACCTGAGCTATGGCGTTCTGAATGTTCTTAGTTACATCCCGATTTCACTAACTGCCTGAGACTTTCTAGGATAATCGCATTGTCATGCGATTTGGCTACTTTTGAAGATGAAGTCTGCAGAGCTCTGAAATGATTCTCCTTTGGGGGGAACACTATACGCATTAGCAATTAGCAACAGAGGCTGTGCTGATCCGCTGGCACAACTGGGAATTCACCTGTAAAACCAAAGGAGAATCATTTGACCTAACAGTCAACAAAGTAACTCACACTGAAGGCTAAATTTAAAGAATTAGCTAATTTAGAGAAAAGCCAACCAGAGACCCTCATTCGAACCCAGCACACCTATGCACATGTAGAGGGCACAATGGGTGTCATCAGATCGTTCATGTGGCTGGTGAGGCTCCCAGATTACCTGGCAGCTTGTTTTCAGGAGATAGCAAAGGGAGGGGAGGGCAGTGTTCGGAAGTGACCAGCAAAGACCAACCATGATGCACTAGGGACATTTGTATTCAACCCACTCTGTCAGTAAAGCCTTATAGATTCCCCCACTTGCTAACACGTTTCAGTTTGTTGGGCTGTAAGCCACTGGGGGCTAGTTTTCAGGCTCACAGAATCTCACCCCAAATACAGCTTCCTTGGTGACCAAACATGTGACTATGAATATAAAGAGCCCATACACACATCCCGACTTCAATCTGTGCCCACTTCAAGCCTGGTATTTAAATGGGAACAAAGCCAGATATCCGCTCTGTCCAGAGCCACTTGGCTCCCTTCTTGCCCACATGCCAGGCAACCCAGCCCTCTGCTGTCCAAGGAGCAAGGAGCGACCCCATGCCACTGGGAGATCTGAGCCAACCTTAGGAGAGCCCCCTGGTGTTAACAAAGCACCTAGAAACCAAACAGCTCTGCTAGGGCTGTGGGTGCCCTCATTCCTGAAGGTCAGGATCTGGTGCAAAGGCAGGAAGCCAGGCAGCCCTAAGAATTCTCACTGCCACAGCTGGCAGGCACTTTATACTCCCGTCTGTTTCAAAGAGCACATTCATTTTCTTGAAATATGTGACAAGCACTCTGTCATTCCACAATAAGAGCCTAAATCAAATCTGGACTACTTGCCCATTTCTGCCACCTCTTATAGCTGGTACCCTCAGAGACATAAATCAAGGAGCCTAAAGCATGACAGGGCAGCCGCACCACTGGTCGTCAGGTTGCAGAGGGATGATACACTAGCCTTGGGTCTTATGGCGTATCCGCAGTTCCCTTAGGAGTCCATTCAACTGGATTCCTTGTAAGAGCACAGGGCTGACCACCCTTAAGCCTCAGAACAGATTGCTTCCCTCAGTCAAGATGTTCAGACAGGGATAACGACCATCATAGGCTTGTGGGGCCTCTTAGGGACATGTAAGAGGGAAATAGGAAAACTTACAAACGACAGGAGAGAAGTCGTTTCACCTGCTTCAGGCAAAGCAGCTCAGTTCTGTCTCACACTGCAGACATCTAACAAAGAAAACAAGCCTGTGTTAAAATCTCCTTGCCATTTGGCATAACCCTAGTCCAGGGCAGGGAAGCAAAACGAACACCCCACCCACGCCTGTTCGGAAAGTCTTGTGACATATGTGAGAAAAATCCTGCTTCGGCTCCAGGGCAGCTGACACAGGGCTACTTACTGCTGCTTAGTGTCCTCTTCTGGAGGGTCCATTTCAGCTCAGAAACCAAGGCTATGACTGTCCCTGGCAAGGAGAAAATGCAAAAGAAAAACCAATTCAAGAAGATATATGCAGGTATCTCTCAGGTAACTCTCTTTCTTCTATAAGAGACTTGGGAAACTGAGTCTCAGACATCCAAATTCCACACCAAAAGGCCTTTTTTTGCCTTCAGACAGGGATAACTTGACATCATCATGGACTCAACTCCCATCAATCTGCCAGCCCACAGCGCAGGCAAACTATTTTTTTCTTACCAAATTCTGCTTTACTCCTCTCATGAGAACTCTTACTCAACCATGTCTCCTATATGAGGATGTACTTTCCCTCAAGGGCAAAAACTGCCCACATCTAGTGCTAGATGTACCCAGTGTCCCAGACCTGACTGACAGTTCCTGCCCTTTTAAAGAAAGGATCTCCCTCAGCACCAAGTGTCTTATAGCTGAGCATGGAGTATATAGTTTAGTGTCTTTCTAGATCAGTCAAGTGCAGATTACTCCTTTCAGCAACCGCACAAAGGGTGCCTGACGCCAAGAGGCGGCAGCATCACACAAGGTCATTTCTCTTTCACTCACCTCTGTGTATGAAACGATCTTGCAGAGCAAGCACGTGGCTTTCAGTTTTTTAAGAGAGGATTATGGATCTGCCCTGAGAGCTACTTAAAAATAGCCAGTCCTATAATCTTGCTGTAATAAAAAATCTGAGCTAAAAATAGATTGGATCATCCAATTGTTCTACGTGCCTGCTCCCAAACTGCCACACTAGATTCTCAGGCCCCACTCATCCATGGCTGGAGGTGGGGTCCAGGACTCTATAGTTTAACACTTTGTAGGCGGCTCTGATGTAGAGCCAGGTCTGAAAAACCACTAGCTCTGTTTTACAAATGAATAAATAAGGCTCTGCTTCAGTTATCCGGTAACTGGCTGAGGCTAGAGCTCAGATCACTCACGTCAGTGTAATATAGGGTTTCAATCTCAACTCTAATGGCATTCTGGGTGGATAGTTCTTTTGTCTCCAGAGCTGTCTTGGAGCAGCCCCATTAACACCCTCTGCCCCCAGCTGAGAACCACTGCTTTAATCTAATTCTTGTAACAATTGTTGTAACAAATACTGTTTGTGAGACTGCTTGGCAAAGAGCCTAACAAAGAGAGTTCCTTACTACTTCCCTCACCTGGGCAGTAACAATCCTAGAAGGCCCAGACCTCTGAAATCTAGAAGACCGATACTTAAAGAGATCATGACCCTCCCAAGACTGTGAAGGAGCTAAAAGTCTTCCTACCGTTTATAGAAATTTCATCACGGGGATCCTTACACCCAACATCTTAAGACGACAGTTTTCATGGCACTTTTTTCAAAGCCCACAGCCAACACCTTTAACCTGAAAGGGGTAAATATGGATAACATACTTTTCATTCTAATAGAAACAACCTTAAGGCATTTATTCTCAAGACTGGTATTTACAAGGCTGAGCCTCAGCAAGTCAGAACTCTTCACAAAGGAAGTCCTTTCCGACAGGGATAACTTTCCATCATCCTCAGCTCAGCCTGTAACAAACGCTACCAAATCCCAGCCACCCAAAACTCTTCCAAGGCTCCCTGTCAACCCTGCAGGCAGCGGTTTCCATTTTGGTTTCAAACAGCGACACCTAGTGGCCCCCAAATTACACTGGCACTGACCCTTTCCGGATTCTAGATTTATGCCCACATTAGCCCCCAGAAATGAACCCTGTTCTGAAGCTAACTTCAGAACAGAGCATTAGGCCGCTGTATGGGACAGGCCTTCGCACCATCTCGGCTTTCTCATTTTTCGGTGCCTAACCGATCCTGTCTGCACCCATCCACTCTTACTCATTTCGGGGCTCCATTCATTACTTTTAAGCTTCCACCTGCAGGTCCGCTTCTCTCTCTGCAGATGCTAAAAGCGGGCTGTGGGGAAGGAGAAAAAAAAAAAAAAAATTACCACGTAAGGTTCGTCGTAAAAAAATGCAACTTTCCAAAGTCTACAGTCCCACTGACTACTACCTGTAGAATTAAATAAAACTGCCTGGGGTCGTTCTCAGGAGGGAGTCAGGGTAACACTGGCGACGGGAGTTACAAGCAGCCACCGCCCGCCCGCCTGGGAGGCTGGCCCGGGAGGCCCTCGGGGCGGCCGGGG